TAAAATCCAGCCCATCAACCGTGAAGAGCTCAGTCCCCCAGGGTACTGTGCTTGCTCCAGTACTTTTTCTCATCCTCATATCGGACATAGACCAGAACACAACCTATAGCACTGTATCATCCTTTGCAGATGACACTAGGATTTTCATGAGAGTTGGCAACATAGAGGACACGGCAAACCTCCAATCAGATGTTGATCAGGTCTTTCTATGGGCTACAGAAAATAATATGGTATTCAACGAGGATAAGTTTCAGCTCATGCGCTACGGAAAAATTGAAAATATAAAAACAGAAACCACGTACAAAACGCAGGCAAATCATAACATAGAACGAAAAGGCAATGTAAAGGACCTGGGTGTACTCATGTCGGAAGACCTTACCTTTAAAGAACACAATAAAGTAGCCGTCACAACTGCAAGAAAAATGACAGGTTGGATAACAAGAACTTTTCACACTAGAGATGCTATACCGATGATGATACTTTTCAAAACGCTTGTGCTATCTAGAGTGGAGTACTGCTGCACAATGACAGCCCCTTTCAAAGCTGGAGAAATTGCTGACCTAGAGAGCGTGCAGAGATCCTTTACTGCTAGAATCCACTCAGTAAAACATCTAAATTACTGGGACCGACTAAAGAGCCTAAATCTGTACTCCCTTGAGCGCAGGCGGGAGAGATACATAATAATTTACACGTGGAAAATAATTGAGGGGCTGGTCCCAAACCTGCACACAGAAATAACACCACATGAGACCAGAAGACATGGCAGGATGTGCAGAATACCCCCGTTGAAAAGCAGAGGTGCAACAGGTACTCTGATAGAGAACTCTATCAACATCAGAGGCCCGAGACTGTTCAACACGCTTCCACTACACATAAGGGGCATAACTGGCAAACCCCTCACAGTGTTCAAGAGAGAACTGGATAAGCACCTCCAAAGGATACCTGATCAACCAGGCTGTGACTCATACGTCAGGCTGCGAGCAGCCGCGTCTAACAGCCTGGTTGATCAGTCCAGCAACCAGGAGGCCTGGTCGACGACCGGGCCGCGTGGACACTAAGCCCCGGAAGCACCTCAAGGTAGGTAGCCAAGGTAGCTTCAACTGATGTCCCCTTGTCCTACCTTCTCTTCATTTAGATAGTCTTCCGTTGTCCACTTTGACTGTTCCCCTCAGAGGTCTTGTATGTAGTGATCATATATATCTCCCTGTGTTTCTCTCCTAAGATTGTGATGGTGAGTGCCCTGAACCTGTCCTCATAGCTGAGGCCTCTCAATTCAGGTACTAATCTAGTTGCAAACATCTGAACTTTCTCAAGTTTGTTTATGCTTCGCAAGGTGTGAGTTCCATTTTGAAGCTGCATACTTGAGTAGTGGTCTCACATAGGCAGCATATATATGAACTTGAAAGCCTCCTTGTTTAGATTCTTAAATGATGATCTTATGTTTGCTAACTTCTCATATGTTGCTAATGTTGTTCTGTTCACATGTTGCTTCATCTTCCCAGCATTGATATGTGCAAGCTCACTCCATTTGGGAAGTAATTTACATCAATTAAAGGGCAGTGGTCATAGGGCTAATGAAATGTATACAGGCACCTGAAGGAGCTGGATGAAGCAAATGCATTAGGACTAGATCAGGTATCACCATGGTTAGTGAAGGCTTTCACCTAGATCAGGTATCATCATGGTTAGTGAGCTTTCATTAGCTCTGGTAGCTCTCCAATCAATTAAAGGGCTGTGGTCATAGGGCAGCACCGTATGGAACACCACATTTCACTCCTCTCCAGGCTTTCTTCTATGACCTTTTGTTTCCTGCCAGTCGGGTGTCCCCATGTACAGTCCAACTGGGGCCTTTCTTGTTACCCCGCATTTCTCTCAGCTTGTGTGTGTTGGTCTTTTGTGAAGAATTTTATCGAAAGCTTTTGGCAGTCTTGGAGGATGCATTCTTCCCACCCAGCTTTCTTCTGTCATATTTTGAAGAACCTGTCATATAATTCAGTCAAGTTTATTATTGAGCATGATTTTCCCTCAAGCCATGTTGTGCCTCTAAAATTTACTCTCCACAAAGTTCTAAAATCTTTTTTTATTCTAAAATATTTTAGCAGAATTTTGCATAGAAGGCATGTTAATGACATTGCATTATAGTTTAGTTCTTCATGTTTTGTCCCCCTTTTTTGAATATTGGAACTACTTTTGCCTTTTTCCAAGTTTCTGGTAGCTCTCCAATCTCAGGTGCAATGTCGAACACAGTAGTTAATGAATAACACATGATCCTGCAGCTTCCTTCACTAACCATGGTGATACCTGATCTAGTTCTAATGCATTTGCTTCATCCAGCTCCTTCGGGTGCTGGATGCTGGATACATTTCATTAGCTCCACTAATGTAGTTTTGTTTCTGGTTGTCAGTTGTCATGTCTCCTTGGACACTAATCTGGTTCCAATTTCTGTACCTCCTGGACGTCTTGTTGAGTTCTTCACACACTTCATCATTTTCTAAGTGTGTTCCTCCATGTCCCCACAGTCTGATTACATGGTCTCATTCTGTCGTTTTCCTCTATATGGCTATGCAACAGCCTAGATTGGTTGGCTCTTTACTTTTGCTGTTATGCTATTTTCAAGCTGCTGTTCTGTTGCTTTCCTGAACCTATTGTACTAATTTCTGGCCTTCCTAAGTGCCTCCCTGTTTGCCTGGGTACCAATGTTCCCATACTACTTCCATGCTTTTATTTTTCTCTCTTTCTTACACTGTCTGTTGAACCATGGGTTTGCTGTTCTCCTTTATGTCCCCTTCCCCTCCTGAGAGGTATAAATAAACTGTTCTATTACTTTGAATTTTTGTTGTCACAAGCTCAACCTCATTTGCTGATTTCCTTCCATTTCAGTCTCCCATTGAACATCCTGCAAACCCTAACCTTCCCTGTATTAGGCTCTTGCAACAGGAAAGTAACTGCTGTTCTGTTCTGCTTTGGCTTCCTAGCCCCTCCATGGACTGCAGTGCTTTAACGGGTTTCATGCTGTAGCCATGTAGGTGTTTCCCTCTTGGGTGGTGCATGTTATACCAGATTCCAGGCTGGAGTCTATTAGTCCCTCCCTCGATCTTCATGAGAGTTGTAAATTTTTTCCCATAGAAAGTTGGGGGGGGGTGTCTTAAGTGGCCATTGGACCTAGGCACGGAATTAAGATGTTTTGCCTGAGCTTGGTTCCTTGACCGACCTTAACTCTCTTTGTTGTGGGAAGTGGTTGGATTTGGATGGGTAACTGCTTTGATTCCATGAACTGGGCTGTGGTTTAGTTTCTTTCCAGCCTGCAGCTCTTGTTTTTTTCATCTCAATGCAGAGTGCATTGAATTCATTGAAGAGTGCAATGCAGATGGTTGAATTAATTGCCTACATTTTTGTTGGCTTTGGTGTGACTGCTGTCTTGTGCAAGTTCTTCACATTCAACTTTCTTGCCTGATTAAGATTGGGGAAGGATATGAGTGGGTCTTGCTTCTGCTTGCAACAGGGATTCTGGTGTACCAGCTGTCTGTAGCATCAGTTGGAGGGTCAGTTGTCAGGAGTTATCAATCAAGCTGCCCTTTTCAGTTTACTTAACCCTATTGTGACAAGCCCAGTGATGTGATGAGTTGCAAACCTTTCTGTGCCTTTTATGTTGTTTTACTTTGTATTCCTTTGTCTATGGTGACTTACCTAAAGGATCAACATAGTGACATATGCTAAGAAATAAGATATTTTGTGTATTGGATGCTCCTATCTAAACTGGTTCTTTTGTCACTTAAATTCCCTTCACCTAATTTTATCTTAGTGGGATGAAAGCAAGGCGAGTTAGTTGACAGGCTCGGTATTGATTGCTGGTGCTGTGAAACAGCCAGGTGTGCTACTAGTTATTTGTGTGGAGTAGCTGAGCACTACTTGACAGTTTTATTTCATTTAGGGCTGGTTTGAGTGTTTCATGGCAAGATCATTTAGAAAAAAATTATTTTGTGGCAGGAGAGGGAAAGTGTCATGGGCCCAGGTTTGTGTATACAAAATCTCATGGAAAGGAGGATATTGCTTAAGGCAGCGACCAGCTCAATAAGGAGCATTTAATTTACACGCAATGTTTAACTTTGGGATTACATTGATGCTTCATGGTACTTGTAGACATGCTGTAATGCCTTCTGCACCCCCACATCACTTGTGATTGTGCAGATATCATTTATATAATATTTTAATGACTGGGAAATTGCCATTACTTTTTCTTTGCAATTGCAGATTACATAAACCTACCAGTAAATTTATTTAGTAATCCTATAAGTGATAACTTTGATCCAATATATAATCAAAAGCTATTTTTTTAATTTGCCTTGCATTGATTACCTGCAGGTATGTTACTATTATGAACTGTTCTTACAGTATCAAAGGATTCATAGAATGTTACACACAGAAATCACAATAGAATGATGTATCAAATGAACAAATCCACAAGGGCCGTGATGAGGGTTTGAACCTACCTCCGAGGATTTGTTCATAGAATGTTGTTATTACAAACTGCTTCAACCAATTCTCACTGTTAAGCAACCTCTTTAATATGTAGACAAAAAATTTTCATAAATGGCAATTATGTTATTTTTGTACTATGGTGTATCTTTTAGTTTTGTAATGAATAGAATAATGTGCATATTTTAAGGCCTTTGTAAAACTAAGTACACTTCCGTAGAAAACTAAAACAAGATATTTCACCCGACTAATCTAAGTTACTAGCACATCTTAAACTGGCACTGATTTGGTGCTAGCTATTATGTGCATCAGAACTGTGGATAGACGTCTTCTTGTTTTAAGTAGATTACAGTTCTTTACTTAGTTTAGTATGTAGATTGTACATAATATTATATATAGAACATTAGGTGCCATTTTGAGATTATCAGTTGAAAACAGGTTTACGCTTGTGTGCTCGAAATGCATGTGTGTGCATTACGACGACATAAAGCATATCAGAGAGCCCAAACCACATTCTCCAACAGGTAGAGGCCATTATGGGACTGAGAGAAGTGAAGGGTCGCACAGAGTACAAAGTTCGCTGGAAAGGATGGAATTCCAAATATGACTCATGGCTTGCAGAAGATGAATTGAATTGCCCTGAGCTTCTGAAACGTTTTAAAACGACTCTTGAGACGTTGGAAAAGCAAGAGGATTGGCAGGTAAAGAGTTGCTTATATTGTTATGTGCTGTATATTAAGTTTTGTCTTTTAAATTGCTAAAACATTAATAATTTTATCATTCACTGGATAAGATTAATTTTTGCGTTTATTTATAATTGACAAAGTTTTAGATGGTATTAAATCAAAATAGCATTAAGACAAATACAATTGAATTTAGTAGCCACTCTGATTTATGGATGTTGGTCTAGAGTAATTAACTTATTTTAACTAAGTATATTTTCCCCTTAACATATGACATTTATGTGCATGTTCTTTGAGACAGGTTTGCAAAACATTAATTTGCCTCGGTATTAACAGCTAAAGCTAATGTAACCTAATTTGACCTATTCTTGGTAAAATAAAGTTCAATTTTTTTATTTAATTTACTTTCACTGTTAACCAAGTGGTAATGCAGACTTAATTTTGCAAAGTTATATTAAGTATTATCCTTTAACTGTTTGTCTTGTGAAATAGCCCTTGGCAACCAGGCCTGGTTGTAAGCGCTACCTAAATGTCATATGTATGTATATATGCAGTATATAATTCATTCTTATGCTACTGATATTTAATAACAGATTATAGTTATCAATTAGTGTAATATTAGGAGTGAGAATGAACAGTGTATTTTTTGGAATAGTACAGTATAGGAAAAGTTCCTGGTGCTGGTAACATTGTAAGGGTGAAACATCAAATTGGGAACACTTTATTGCTACATGATTATTTAATTGTGAAGAAAGTATTCTTAAAGATCTTTCTAACAATTAGGTGTTTCAACTTGACATGTTCTGTAGTAAATTGGGGGCAAGATTGTGTGATACCAAGGAATTAGCTGTGATGTGTGCTGTGAATAGGATATAATTAATATCTCCCTTCTTGTTAGTGTAGAATGCAAAGGGTAAGCAACCAAGCCTTATTTTCCCATGTGCACATGAAAAGGGCACGAGACTGAGGGATATACAGACGATGAGTCACAATAATGTGGCTAAAGTATGTTGACTAGACCACACACTAGAAGGTGAAGGGACGACGATGTTTCGGTCCGTCCTGGACCATTCTCAAGTCGAGGTCCAGGACCATCGACTTGAGAATGGTCCAGGACTGACCGAAACGTTGTCTTTCTTTCTCTTATTTTTCTTTCTTTTCTTTCTTTCTCTCTTCTCTTTTTTTCTGTTCATTGTCTTCTCCTACGTTCCCTTGCTTTCCTCTTCTTATTCCTATTATTTTCTCCTTCTCCTTAGGTGGTTATAATAGGAACTGCCTCGTATGGGCCAATAGGCCCTCTGCAGTTCCTACTACTACACCTTACTTTGCTCCTCTTCTCTCTCGTGCCTATTTATTGCCTGTCTCTACTTCCTCATCACAGTCGACTTGAATGGTCCAGGACTGACCGAAACGTCGTCGTCCCTTCACATTCTAGTGTGTGGTCTGGTCAACAGTATATGTAAATGATGTTTGTGAGAGAGGTGATAGTTGAAAGTAAATCTAAGTTAATGTTGATCAGTAAAAAATGAATAGCTAATATTTTATTGACAAACTCATTGAAGTAAAGTGTAGAGTAGTTTGTACGGGAAGAAAAATGTCTGGTGCAATGAAAGGTTTGTTTTTTGAAAGTATAAATATAAGGGATGTACTCACCTATTGGTGCTTGCGGGGGTTGAGCTTCGAAGCTTTGGTCCCGCCTGTCAACCTAGTATAAGTGATGTACGTATGAAGATGTTACTTTTTAGCCTTTATGTATTTTACACATTTGTATAGAGTGAATGTGAAAAATGTGTGTTATAGCAGTGTGGAGTCTGTGAAGACCCTGTGTTAGACAGGAGGACTGAATAATGAGTAATAATTGCAGGAAGGTGAAGTGTAAATGTCTGTTGTATGACATTGTTAAAAAGTTGAAGGTTGTCCTGGCTTCGAGTGAATAATGAATGACAAATACATTTTTGCCGGCTAGTCAGTGGGTGGGATGAGGCAAGGAAGTTGGGAGGTTTATGATTGAATGATAATGTGCTTGGCAACAGCTAACCAGCAATACTATGGGGAGAATTTGCTGATAGATTGTTTTTGTGACAGCTCATATGGAGTACTTTCATCTTGTCAGTGAAATGGCTGTTTGATTCTACATTGTAGGATAAAAAAAAAACATGTTTATGTAGACCAGACCATACTAGAAGGAGAAGGAACGACGACGTTTCGGTCCGTCCTGGACCATTCTCAAGTCAATTGTGTCGACTTGAGAATGGTCCAGGACGGACCGAAACGTCGTCGTCCCTTCACCTAGTGGGTGGTCTGGTCAACATACTTTGGCCACGTTATTGTGACTCATCGTCTGCAACATGTTTATGTATTTTATGTAAAGATTTGAAATACACTTAAGTCCTTTGCACTCTCCTGAGTGCATTTATCAAGCTCTTGAGTATACGGTTTCTACAAAACTTGCATCTCGACAGCTAATATGGTTGCTATCCTGAATCTAGTTCTTTTATTCTTCATGACCTGATTATGTCACCTTCATTCCCAACGGCCGATGTGGTCGAGGAGATTTCTTTTAGGGAATTATGATCGGTTGTCATTTCTGTCATCCTGGGATTCTGAGAACTGGAGTTGGTGTTAATAAAGGTATCCGTCCGGATACTGTTCCTTGTAACACACTCCATACCCATAGGAGCGAGGCTATTGGGACTACTTGAATTTATCCATCTATTCATATCTAATTTTAATTCTCTAAATCATTTTTCTTGTAAAACTGTCCTCAAAAGTAAAGCTTTTGTTTCCAGCTAAAATATTTAAAATATTAAGAATTTTAATTAATATTTTAAATACTGTATTTTAAATAATTTTGCTGGACACAAAAGCTTTACAGCTGAGGATAATTTCACAAGAAAAATAATTTAGTGAACTAAAATTAGATACTAATAGATGGAGAAATCCAAGTAGTTGCGATAGCCTCTCTCCTTTGGGTATGATTACATGTTGATGCATTATTATCCTGTAAGTTTTGTCCAAATCATATACTCAGAACTCAATAATGCACTCAAGAGAGTGCAGAAGACTTGATGTAGTTCAAATCTTTACATAAAATGCACAAGTGTTGGTATTTATCTTATCTTACTATGTCTTGTAATAAATCACTTGCAGGCGATGAGTCACAATAACGTGGCTAAAGTATGTTGACCAGACCACACACTAGAAGGTGAAGGGACGACGACGTTTCGGTCCGTCCTGGACCATTCTCACAATCGACTTGAGAATGGTCCAGGACGGACCGAAACGTCGTCGTCCCTTCACCTTCTAGTGTGTGGTCTGGTCAACATATTCCTTCCCTTATTTATTTTAAATGTCTCGATAATAATGTAAATGGGTGTTGGGGTTACTAAAGGTCTCTCGATTACACCTCTATTCTTTCCTGCCTGGTATCTTCACACACCGTGAAAGTAGGACATGGGTAATATAAACAGAATTAAATTAAAATGGATATTAATAATTTTTATGATGTACAGGTTGAAAAAATTTTGGAAGAACGTGAAAAGAAAGGAAAAAAAGAGTATTTAATTCAGTGGAAGGATTGGGGTCCGAAATTTAACACTTGGGAGCCTGAGGAAAATCTAGAAGGGTGCCCGGATATTGTCAAACGTTTCAAGGACCAAGAGAAAAAACAGAAGGTCGGTTCTTAGTTTTGTTCTTAATTTTGGTATATTTGCATAGGTGTATATATGTGTGTGTGTGTGTATGTGTATTGTAATAATTCCCTCCCATGAGCAAAATTTCACATGCATGATAAAGAGTCAATGGTAGAGTATTTTGGTCATAATCCACTTAAATTTTGGTCGTTCTATTAACATTTTCATTTTATAAATGCTGTAGGTTGGACCAGGGAATACATTATGGCTTTGCCTGATTGTTTTAACACTAATATTTCGGTTGGCTTTTGATCTGTCTCAATGCAACATCCTAACAATGTATCGGCCAAGTTTCTCGCTTACAACACACTCCCTAGCTCAAGTTAAAGTTGTCTAGAAAGTGTTCTTTTTCCAATTTTTTTTATATCTCTCAATAATGTTAATATATTGCTTCCAATATGTGTATGCATATACCTAAGGATAGTATTATAGATATGTATACATTTTGAGCTTGTTAGTGTCATGGTGCATCAAATAAGTGTATACATCATATACCTTATGAGAGAGTTATGTGCTGTTGACATCTGGAGCCTTGTAATGTCATGGTGTCATATTTACAAACTATTTTGTTTTTCAACTTTGTAAAAGTTGAAAGTTTTATTTGTATATGTATTGGACACGTGAAGGTTTTTTTGTACATTAATTTATTGAAATGTATACAACTGTTGATTTCTCTTGGTCACACAGTCATTTGGATCTTTTATTCCCCATATATATATACTGTACCAGTGTGTCTTATGAAAACACATTGATTGTATTTTGTACATACAGTATAAAATATTACACACAACAAAAACACACGCTATAATTTTACGCATATTCTCAGTTTACTCAAAAATATTTTACACCTTCCTCGAAATGAGTTCTGGACCATTTTAAGTTAGACTCCAAAAAATAAGTTATGCACTTTTTTACCCTCGATACAAATTGCATCAAAGTCGTCACTTCGACTATGCCCTTCCTCCCTTTCCTCCTGCCTCCTTTTCCAGTCATTTGTTCTTGTAGAATATACATTTGCATGTAGAAATATGTTCATTGTTTCACATATTTGTCTTCACAATGTAGTGTTTGTTTTGAATAAACTGTGTTGATTGATGCACAACTTGACAAAACAGTACTGTATATAGGCCTCCAATGTAATATGCACACTTATTGCACATAAATCTCTTCCTGGCATAGCTCAAAGGAAATGTCTTGCAACCCAATCCTTCTGTGCAATTCTGTTTGGAAATGACATTCAGGTGTGGATTCAAACACTCAATGGGAAAGATCAAATTTCCATTTGCAGAATATTTTCTTTGGGCTTGGTTATAATGATAAGAGGCAAATAACAAAACATTCTGTGGTCTTTTGAGATTAACAAAGGCCAATGACTGGAAGTTAAAGGTTTAGTACGACATTCTTAAACCTCTTTTTAAGTAAAGTGATCTCGGTGAATAACTTTAAGCATTTCTAGATCACAGAAAATGCCATGCTGTTTATATTTATTTAAATATGGTGACTAAATTAGAGAATAATGGTAACTGGTGAAACATTTAACCAGAATTTAAGTGCATTTGAATACTGCCATAAAATATGTAAGTTTCAGTGATTATTTTACTGAAAACAAAATGCCAAAGTTAATAAATTATAATGCTTTGTACGTAGTTTCTTTAGCAGGGAAATCTATACCCAAACAATCTTTCACTGCATATAAATTTTCTAATTTACTTCACTAGATATACTGTAAATTTTAAGTAATGTGTATTGTACAGTATGTTTTGTTGTGGGTTAGGCATGTTTGTATTTAAGGTATATATTGTCGTCGTCCTCTGGATAGTGTTATACAGTATAAATCAAACATACACACACACGCACATATTATATATTATTAGTGTAAATTATTGCTTCTTCAAATATCTCATTACACAGTGGAACCTTGTACTTCTCACGACAGCCTGATTTAAATCATTATGCTTAAGAATGATCAGAGTTTTTGCTCCTTTTCGCTTTGCTTACCAGTATACTGAAGTTTTCCTTCTACAGGTGACAAGAACTACTATATAAATATTGCATTTTGTATAAAATAATGCAAGACATTTTTATTTATTCGTATTTATAAAAGGTCATTTTTGACAGGGTGATCCACATTATTGAAGCTACTTTGATTATTCAGACCCCCTGATCTGGATCATCAGTGTTAACAAGTGGCAAAATTTGTTTAAAATGTTTGGGTTTTTTAATTATCGAGGTTCCACTTTATAATAGATATGAACTTGACAAAAGTAAGGTTTTGTAATCAGTAGTATTTGTATATCTTAAGCATGTGATTGAAATAGCATGTAATTCTATCCAGTATGCAGTATTGTACTATAAAAGGAAAGTTAGTTGTATATAAATATGACAATTTGACATTTAATGCATTGGTGATTCTTCAAAAAATGTAGTTTTTTACTGGAAACGTGTTGAAATTTCTTGAGTATAGTGCTTTCCACTTGTAAATACTTTTTATGCAAAAATAGAACTGAATGTACTTATATTGTGCAAAATCTTGTTATAAAAAATAGTAGATTTTATGTGAGAAACTTGCATGAAAAGGTATTTGCTTTAACTAATTTTGTATGCACTATATTAGTTAAGTATGAGAAATTGTATATATTGAACAAGACTTCAAAGTTATCTGTGTAGATATTTCTACTGTAGTAGATAATGTATCTTGAGTATATTTAGTGCTTACCAGAAATTGAGTGTACTGTATATATATATTTTAGACTTGGCACTGTTATTCACCTCTCATGAAATAGTTGTGTATGGTATTCTCATTGTATTTTCCATATTATATTTTATGTGTAATGAAAACCAGAAAGTTGTTTTATTTACTGATGGTTTATCTAAATATTTTACTGTATAATCTTAGGGTAATGTATTCCATGCCATTATTGTTGTGATCCAAAATATAGAACTGCATATTCATTTGGGAATCCACAGTATATGGTACTTCACGTGTATTAATTCTGGTTAGTGAAATAGTAAATGTATCAAAACAGTAAATGTAAACTATTTGTATGCCTACTGGTGTATGTAATGTTTATGAAAGGCTTCATATACAGAGTAATGTGATGAAAGGTAACATACCTGTATAACAAGTGTATACCAAGTTCATCTGACATGGTTGACCAGACCAGACCACACACTAGAAAGTGAAGGGACAGCGATGTTTCTGTCCATCCTGGACCATTCTCAAGTCGATTGTGAATGGTCCAGGACGGACCGAAACGTCGTCATCCTTTCACCTTCTAGTGTGTGGTCTGGTCAACATACTTTAGCCATGTTATTGTGACTCATCGCTTGCACATCTGACATGGTTTTTTACTATACATTTTCTAGTCAACAGTTTCAACTTGTACAGTGTACCCTCGTTTCATACAACTTGGCCATTCTCATTACATCACAGTTGTCCTGGAAACAAAAATGAGAACAATAATCAGCTGTCATTCACCTCGTATAAACCATCATTATTAAGCAGATTCTAATAACTGTGTTGATAAGAGTGAGATCTTGCTGTAAATTTCTATCTCCTACGTAATGCACTGGCTGTTTATACGTCTTTTGATGTTGAAACTTCTGTCGTACTTGCTTTTGAAGCTATGACGGGCGATTGCTTATGTATCGGAGTCTACAGGGAGCGAGATCTAGCTCTTTGGAAGTTGTCTTATTTCCATTTGAACCTGGCGTTTTTTAGTAGTCATTTAAGAGCTCCCTTTCGTGTTTACTCTCGAAGCTGTAGATAGAGGTTGTTTCCATAATATCTAATTTCATTGCATTCCAGCTGTTGTCCCCCTGCACGGCATTGCTATTGTATTGACATCTGTGGTGATATGTAGGAGCTTTTGAATATCTTGCATCATGGATGGTTCTAAATAGTCTTCTGGCTTGGTGCCTTCTATTGATAATTACTTACCTGCACTATGTAAAGTTTTTTCTTTTCGTCACTTTAAATTTTAGGAGTTTAGCACTAAAGTGGTCTGGCTTGTTGCTCTCCCAGATGTTAAGTCCTGGTGTTAACACACAAAGTTTGGGGGGAAGACATGTCAAATGTTTATACTCTTTCGTTACTTGTTGGGTTTTAATCAAATTTTTATTGTAGTGTACACATTACGTAATCAATATAAATGTGAAACGAAAAACAATATTTGCATACTTTTTTATGCAAAATGATGAGAAATCCATACCGAGATAATGTATCAACTGCCCGACACATAAATATGTTTGTTCTATTTTCAAAGTTACTTTTTTTGGGTTATATCGGAATTTTGTGTCAAATGTTGGGAATGAATACTTGTGCCTGACCCTGGGGAGGGGGACGCCTTCATTCTTTACCAACGCAGAACTTGTAGGTAGAAACTGGTACAGTATTCTGTCATTGTAAGACATCCACAATTAATACTACATTTCTCATTGTTGGTTGCCATGCCCCCCAACCAAATATGTATCCACTCTCGCCCTTTGTGTTCCTCTACATCAGATTTTTTTTTTAACCCTTTTCAACGTATGGTACAATGAGCAAGGTGCTAAAATTATCAAGGGGGAAGGGGGAGCTTTTATTGTTAACAAAAATTAGTACAATATTAAAATTGTGTTCAGCTCAGTAGCTAAAATTTTAATCTTTTTTTTTTATGTAGATTTTTTAGTTTATTCATGGTAGTTATTCAAATTTGATTGATTGTCATTTAAAATATTGTTAGTTTTAGGATATACAGCATAATAAACCAGGTATCTTTAAGGATATATGTTTTAATTGGGAGCACTGAAATATATAAATATATATAATTAACTGAATTCAGAAATAACAAAATTTAAACGAAATAGAAAAACAAAGTATATCTAGTTTGCATTTTTGTGTTTAAGGGCGGGATGGGTTGTAATATCTAAACTAATGTGTTCATGGGAATGGCAATGCTGCTGTTTTGGAAGTTAGCCAGAGGGGCGTGAGGCTAGAATTTTATAGAATTTATTCATGTTGTAGAATGGCTATAAATGTGGGTGTACATTAATGTGTTGACATGACAGAAGACAGTTTACAGAGGCTGATAATTCTAATTGGAAGGGAATGAGGAATACAAAATGTGTGTTTTAAATTATTACAGAACAAAGAACCTTTAAAGAACAAGACAAACAAGAGGGCAAGCACAAAGAAGGAGACAAAGACAAAACATAAAGATGAAAACGAGGAAGAGGATATGGAGGATGAAGAACAAGAAAATGAAGAGGAGAGTAATTCACCTAATAAGAAGGTGTGAGGGGCATCTCTCTTGTTTCACACCTGTTTCATTATCAGCTGATTCATCTCTCATTGTTTTGTTGACAAGGAATTCTCTTGTAATTGTTTAAGGGAATGGAGTCATTTTGTTGCTGTAGTCACATCATGCATAAAGTCGGCTCTACCTCAGATATTGAAGATAGTGATGCATTCGTATAAATTCAAAGTTTATCAAGAAAATAATAATTGGCTTAAATTACAACACTTGTTATATCATTCATAATTCATACGAATATGGTTTATCGTATATGATAAAGTAGTTGAAATTTATAATGATTGAAATGACTATAATTTGACACATCAAAGTACGATGTGTCAAACTATAAAATCTGCACCGAGTTTGTACAGTTACATAGAAATGTGTACCATTTTCAGTTGTTAATATACCTAATGGGGAGGCAGATGTTCTAGATTTAATTTTTAACTACAAATTGGGGGATTTATGAAGTAGTTAATTGCAATAATTATACAGGTTGGTGATGAATTTACTTCATAAGAATCACCAAATCTGTTTTATTATTAATGAAACAAAAAGGTAGTTGTGAAATGATTAAGCGTTAAAAGATTGGAGGTTAGCTAGTGGAGTACAATAATAGATTTCTGTTCATGTTTTTGAAAGGCAATAATTGTGGGTGTACATTATTGTTTTGGCACGAAAGACAGTTTCACGAAACACAGGCATGGATGATGAGGCAATTATTGCCTTAGAAAGTTAGCATAAGATGGATAGGAAGATTCTATGAAGCTGACAAATATTATGATTGGATGGGAATAAGAGGAATAAAAAAAGTTGTCTTTTTAATTGTTACAGAAGAAAGAAACTATAAAGGGCAAGACAAACAAGAAGGGAAGTGCAAAGAAGGAGACAAAGAAAAAACCTACTAAAGACGAGGAAGAAGTTATGGAAGAGGAGGAGCAGGAAGACGTAGAAGAGGATAATGATACACCTGTTAAAAAGGTGTGATGACATTACTCTTGTTTCACACCTGTTTCATTATCAATGATTCATTTGTCAGATTTTTTGTTCTTCAGGAATGCCTCTCATCTTAATTAAAGGGGTGGAGTCATTTTAGATCTGTAGTCAAATCATTCATTAAGTCTCTGGTAATAACTATGAGAGATATTGAAAATGTTGACCACATTTACAATGTTAAGGTGTTGAGAGGGTTAAACAACAAATTCAAGTGTTCTTTTGATTGCTTACTAAGCCAGAGGCAGATTCAACCAGGACACTGCTCTTGTGGTAAGCTGTTGTCAATTTTTACTCCATCATGACAAGGTACTTTCAAGTAGTCTAGTCATGTAGTTAGGGAGAGAAGAGGCTAAGGAAATAGCTTGATCCACTTCTGAGAGTAACTGCTCTCTCTAATACCAAAGAGCAAAGCAAACCTCTCAACACCTTCAATTGATATTTGGAAATATAAGGAAATTAATTATTCTGCTAACAGGATAAACTAACTGTTACCCAGGTAGCAATCAGTGTATCACTATAGAGCAGAAGAGCTGACAGCCCACACTTTAAGCCCAGGATATCTAGATATGCTAAGAGATCCTGGGACCAAAGGGCTGGGAATGGAAGCAACAGAGGGGGCTGCTTGGGAAGAAGTGTTTCAATACTCTCGACACTTTATTGTTAAGATCATCTCGATTGATTACTGAGCCAATTTCCCAAGACACACTTCCACCCCAAAAAAAAAATATGGGATATGAAGGGAACCCAAAGCACAAATAACAACGAAGAGAGGTAGATACCAGCTCTGAACTGTAGACCAGGTATGGAACTTGTCCACCAAGCACTAAGGCTGAGGTATGGCCAAACCCGACGTGTAATGAAGAGACTGGCAATTTAATCTGAAGGTGGAAAAATGGAAAACTAGAAAGAGATCCTGAGGTCGTGAACCAATATCAGACAAAATTGCAAGGAAAGCCAGCATACGAGCCACTTGCTAGAAACCTGAAAGAGCAATCATAACATGTCTAAGGCTAACCGGGACTGCTATGGCCAGGACACACACACACACACACAGTACCGGCCCATATCACTTCCTAGAGAATAAGGATCTGGTGACTGTCAATTGATTAGTAGGGAACTGAAAAACACGCAAGGACATTGCGCATTCAAGCTGAGAATATTTGAAAAATATCTAGGGGTCTCAAGAGTCCAATATTAGGGTAATTGCAGGACATCTTGGAGGAGATGAAAAATTCCAAGATCCAAAAATCCCGAGCATTCCTAAATGCTCGGGGAAACTTGGTGTTTGATTAAATTTTAGATCAACGTTAAATTAAATTTGATGTTGAAAACATCTAATTCACAAAAATATCCAAGGAATGCATATGACAAGCTGGGGCTCCCACCCAAAGAACTAGGTAAATCTCATTCACCTGGTTAATGAAAACCCTACCCAGAGAAGTTGTGGAATTGCATTCTAGAGAATCAGAAGGCCCAGCCTGGGGCATTCCCCAGAACCAGACACAGAACCCTGTACCCCAGCTACATTCCCATGAAATGAGGCACAATGACTTGGAAATCACGCAAAAGAATTAACTCGGAAAAACAAATGGAGCAATGTGCCCCAGAAATAAGTTTAGATGTTTATAGACGAAGGTTATAAATCACGATCCTGGGATACCCAGCTGTGGAACCCCAAGAGGCCCCAGAGGACACTAGTGGACAAGGGGGGGCTGGAGAATACAACCTGGAGTACAAACACCACCAGAGAGTCCTGGTGTATCAGGACTCTCTGGTGGTGTACAAACCAGAGAGTACAAACACCCTGGATCAATGTGTCTTCCCAGAAGTGCTGGAAAGCTCTTCTGAGAAAGCATGAAATGCACATGTAAAGCCCAGTTGTTGAGACCTGGAAAAAACACCTCAGGAAAACTGGGTGCACATTTGAGCCACAAAGGCAGAGAACTCGAGAATAACCCTTAGGCACATACTGGGGAATCAGGGGTCCAAGGACTCCAAACAGAATTAGAGGGTGCCTTCAAGAACCTACAAGACACATCTGGAAAACAGATAGAACTCTTTTTACCTATCAGTAAGAGGGTTCAATCTGGGTTGTCTGGTGAATGCTTCAAAATGTATGTTGTATGTCAACCAAGGAACACACCGGCTCCCTCGGCCGACCGAGGGAGCCAAGTGGACAGCACGCTGGACTTGTGATCCTGTGGTCCCGGGTTCGATCCCGGGCGCTGGTGTGAAACAATGGGCTGAGTTTCTTTCACCCTATGCCCCTGTTACCTAGCAGTAAAATAGGTACCTGGGTGTTAGTCATCTGTCATGGGCTGCTTCCTGGGGGTGGAGGCCTGGTCGAGGACCGGGCTGCGGGGACACCCAAAGCCCCGAAATCATCTCAAGATAACCTATAGATCATATCTCCAGGAGATCTGGGAACCTTGGAAAAAGCAGGATCCAATGTAATGAAATATAGAATAGGTGGCCAGCAGGTTTGCTGTCCTCTTTAATGTTAAATACTTACATTATAACCAGATGTGAGTAATCAGAGAGCTAGGTCCTAAAACTTGACATAGACAATCTGAAATGGCACGTCCAAGTAGTGGAAACACTCGATAGAAATCAGGCCCAGCTGAAAGCTCCACCAAATAGCTAGAGAAGACAACCGAGGTTTGTCAGTCTTCGGTCAATTTATGTGAGGGAAAATAATCCTGACATTTTCAAATCCAAAGACAATTTTCAAAGAGCAACCAGTGGTCTGAATGTGCCTCTGCGGAGCTTGGAATATAGCATGTGCACATTGGGCGAAAAGTAAATTCGTTGGCATTTCTAACCCAGGTGAGGGTCAGTAGCGATCAGATTTATCTGTGGTTATCGAAGCAGTAATGCTTTGATTGCTTGCTTAGAATTATTGGAGATCATGTCAAAGTATTTACTTGCACCTGGATGTCCGTGTGGGGTGTCTAAAATTGTTTGAGCAAATCTTTCTTCTCCAAACCATTTCATGACCATTTGAATACCCCGTAGTTCCTTGTCTTTAGATTACTTGTCATTAAAATGAGCAGTCACGGGAGGCAACTGAGGTGGTCTTAGAAATCTGAGGTAATCAACAAAATACTGTAACCATTGCATAATTTAAAAGCCACTTGGTAATTTATAATGTATAAAAAAATGATCAAACAGATATGCACGGTCATTATTATCAGTTAATATTAATTTACATAAAATGCAAGTAGTCACACACAGTTTGTTTAACCCTCAAACTGCACAACCATAATTAGGTAAATAATCTGGTGCACATAAAAATATATATAATTGTTTTTCCTTTTGTAAAACATTTCTTTCTGATGGGGGAAACTAATAATTTACGTTTGGCGTTAGTGAGGTGAAGAAATGTTGAAAACATCAAATTCTGAAAATTTATTTTCAAGTTAATTTGTAATACATCACATCGCAAATATCTTCCAGGTCCATAAAAGCTCTTGAAATTTTCTGTGGCATCATTGGTTCCTGGCATGGGCATCAGGATTTTTTTTTTTGTTAATAAATAATTTCCAGTAAGAAACAAAGGGCCTTCAAGATTTTTCAATATAACTAATGATGGCTAAAGGTCATTAGTGTTGAATGATGCTGACATAGAATCTTTAGGACTTTTAAGTATTATTGGGCACATTAAAGCTTCCACAGGTGATAGGCACACTGGCCCCTCTTGCTTGAGAGCTACAAAAGCAGTTTAAGGGTTAACGACATGTTGGAAAATACAGTTGCAAATGATTGACAAGCATTTTCGTGATGTAAATATCCAAGATTTAATATTAAGTATAAATGTAGATATGCCCTGTATAGTGTAGCAATATGTTGCTTGATTAGGAATTTTGCTCAAAATATCCTTGTCAAATCCCATTTAATATAAAGTTTAATATCAAGTCAAAGAGTGTTTTCAAAGTTTCCAGATTTGAAAAAGAATGGGAAGTTAGCTATGACAATTATTATGTTATTGTGTGAGTATTATTGTGTTAACAAAAGAAAGTTTACAGAGGCTGATAATTATAATTGAAAGGTAATGAGAGGAATACAAAATAAGAACATAAGAATGAAGGTAACTGTAGAAGGCCGATTGGCCCATACGAGGCAGCCCCTATTTATATCCATCCCAACTCATATGTATGTCTAACCTAGGCTTGAAACCAACATATGTTTTAAATTATTACAGACCAAAGAACCTTTAAAGAACAAGACAAACAAGAGGGCAAGCACAAAGAAGGACACAAAGACAAAACATAAAGATGAAAACGAGGAAGAGGATATGGAGGATGAAGAACAAGAAAATGAAGAGGAGAGTAATTCACCTAATAAGAAGGTGTGAGGGGCATCTCTCTTGTTTCACACCTGTTTCATTATCAGCTGATTCATCTCTTATTGTTTTGTTAACAAGGAATTTCAATTAACATGGAAAGTCTTATTGAGATCTCGGTAGTTCCTTGTCATTTTAGATGCCTCAAATGTTTACATTTTTATGAAGACATTGGAAGTCAAATTTACTTGCAATGTTATAGAAGAATGGGATAAACTTGGATAAAGAAACCAATATTTTTTTTATCCAAGTTAAAATTAACAAGAAGTTATTTAATCAAAATGGCCAATATTGTTTTAACTTATTAGCATTTTCTTATTTTAATTATTATAACAATTATATTTTTATTTAATGCCAAAGGATTTTTAAAATAATATCTTTGAATGTATTATTGATTAAATTTGGTTGAAAGGATGGAATGTGAAAGTTACGATCACATTTAATGGCCGAATATTTTAGTTTAATAATTTGAATGACCTATTTTCCAAGTGAAGTTATTTAGGATCCTCCCTAGTACAAGCTCACGATACAGTAATGGTTTTCTTCCAGCCGAGACTTTCAGAAAATTATTTAGTGTTGGATATAGACAGGTATGACACCATGACTCACCAAGGGTGCACAAGCGATCTCATTCTCAGCATTAAAGGAGGCAAACTTTGGGCGTGGAAATCACCTTTCCAATTTTCTCCCTAAGATTTTTCCAACCAAAGAGCTCCTGGTCCCTTTCTCCTGTAGGAGTGAGATTTTGTTCTCTTCTGTCCAAGTAGCTTAGTCCTCTTCATTCTGCGCTAATCCCTTCAAAGCTAGGCAATTGTTTTAAATTTTACATTGTGTTTCTTTAGGCGCGACTTCCATGTCGCTGTTGCATATTCTAATATTGGCCTCACATAGGCTGTTTGTCTTGGAACCTATTTAGGCTCTATAAGGTTCCAATGCTTTCCCCTCTTCCCATATTTGCAGATCTATCCACTCCCAAATAATTTTGAATTCTGTAGTTGCTTTCCTCAAATGTTATATATTTCCTCAAATGGTCTTCTGAATCACTTTCCAATTCTCATAATCTTGGTCATTTTGGGATTAAACTCTTAGCAGCACTTTGTCTTCAGACTTGCAGTTTGTCAAGAGTTTCTTGTGTTTCTCTGCAATCTTCCTAGTTCACTACATTTCTCATTAGCTTTTCATCATCTGCAAACCATGGACATATTTGAACTAACTCCCTTAGGTAGGTCTTTCACACAAATTTAAAACGGCAATGATCCTTGGGAGACCACATTTGTGTCGAACCTCAATCTCATCACCTCTGAGTGGGATCCATTGTCCATGCCAAGTTTAGTGTGTACCCAATTATCCCAGCTTCTCTCTCCATCTTATACACTAGTTTTTCACGAGGAAAATATTAAAATACATCTTGATGGAAGATGCAGTGTTGCTAGCTGTAGATGGTTGCAGGAGTGAGGTGTTGCTGTGGTATGTCAGGCTGTATAGGGTGAATAATATAACGAATTATGATTTTTGTGTTATATAGCCTTCATTATTATTATTCACCTTTCTCTGGATTAATGGTAATGAAACCATTAATTCAATAATATAGTACTGTAATATTTCATATCTGTTTTAGTATAGCAATGGAATATTTTTACTTAAGATTTAATTCATGTCTTGTAAACATTAAGGTGATTGTGATATCCATTGAATGTTTAGTTCATATGTCTTAAGTTATTAGGAACTGCATACTGGATATAATGTATGTCTGAGCCATATTTGTTTTACAGTTCAAATTAGAATTGGTTTGAACTTGTATAATTAATTATTTAAGTGTTTATAGTAAATACACTAAATTGTGATTAAACTGTATTGAAGATAATGTTCAGTCTGTAAGGGCTTCATCTTGAGAGGTGCGCAGATCAAATGCTTAAAAGGGTAAAAATGAGGTGACGTGAGACCAGAAAGGCGAGTGATTACTCGTGTAACAAGCTTTTCCCAAGTGTCTATGAGGATGGGGGAGTTGCAATTCTAAATGGCCTTTTATTCTATACTATTCTATACTATTCTATACTATACTATTCTATACTATTCTATACTATACTATACTATTCCTTATTCAGTATCTGCATTCCTTTTCAATCCAGACTGTACTTGGAACGAGCTCGGTGAAGGAGAACTCATACTCTCTGTATAGATGATTCTTCCTCTCCTAGACAAATTAATAATACCAAATGGTGATACTCAAATTCCCAGTCAACAGAAACCTACCTTGTTTACTTTTACTCACCACTGTAATAGAACAAATCGAGGTCCGGTGATTGTGATCTTCCTTAGGACATTTAAGATTTATAGCCAGCAATTCCTTGCACAGAAGTGCCTAGCCACTGTGTCCTGTAGAGCAGGCATGTCATACGTGTGGCCTTTAGCAAACACACCTGCGGCCTGTACAAAGGGTACTGTAATATGTTATATAATATAATAGAAGAAATATTCTGCAATAATTTTTATTAAATGATTTCAATTAGTTGTCATGTGTGGCCCTCATAACATAATTGTGACCCATATGGGTCTCGGGGGACCGTCAGTTTGACAGGTCTGAAGTACAGTATGGGCAGTGCTCTGTTTTAGGTTTGTTAGAAAATGAATTGGCACAGTCATTCTCCTACATTTTGTTGCAATTGGCAATAGGGAACTCGAAGACTGCCATGAAGACACTCGGTACATCTTCACGACCAAAGTTGCTACATCCTCCAGACTACATCCTCGACCGTCGTCATGGTCGCCATCCCTTTAGAGTAGTTTAGATCACTTTTAATAGTAGGACTTTTCTGTCTTTTTAATTCTTGACTTGAAAAGCAAGAAAGTTCCCATAACCCAATTTTTCAATCTTGTTCCTTTGGGCTTACCTAGGATAAGTTTTACACTTAAGCCTTCAGAAATATTGTTCAACCTATTTTTAGGCTTAAATACTTGTTTATTCCTTTACAACATATTCTAACAAATTAGTGGTTAGGTTAGCTTGGGTTTGTGTTAGGTTTGATCCAGAACTTTACAATGGGAGTTTGTAGAAAAGTCAGTTTAGGTTTGTTTAGGTTCCACCCAAAATCCTTACACAAACCAGGGTTGTATCTAGGTATGTATTCAGGTTCTACCTAGACCTTCCTTGTCAGTCAAAAGGTGTGTTGGTTAGGTTTGATTTTGTTCAGCCTAGACCTTCACAATCAATCGCAGGAAAACTTTTTAGGTTTGTACAGGTTCAACCTAATTTTGTACTCGACTTTATAGTCATACATTGAAATCTCTTAAGTGAGGCTTTCCCTTCTAGCTGGAAAATGTGCCCTGACTTTGTATCGCCTAATGAAGACGATTATGGCTGCCTTACCTATTCCTCTCCCTATCCTTCGACATCTTGATGCTCTGCACCATTACAGATGACACCTCAGCTGATAGTCGAAATCCAATAGTGGCTGTTTTTATCTCTAGCAGATTCAAGACAGTTGAGTTTTGCTGGGTTCCTAGCCATAGCGGTATTACTTTAAACAAACATGCGGACATTGCCTCAAAGGAGGCCTCTGCCCTTTTTCTATTTCCCCCCAAAAGAGGCATTCCTTATTCAAATTTTTACTTATTTGTTTATTCCTCAATCCGTGACTTTTGGCAAGGTCATAGGTCAGACGTTACAGGTAACAAACTGCACTCTTGCAAGTAACTTATCCGCTTGGCCTTCCTCCTACCACCGTAACAGATAGTGGAAAACTGCCCTGGCTTGGTTATGTATTGGCCACACTCTTAACTCCTGACCACTTAATGGAATACTGTCCTCATTATCTGAACTGCATTGTGCCACTTAGTCATACCTCTTCTTGTAGAATGTTCCAATTTTTAGGATGATTGTATGTTTTGTTTTCATATTGCCCCTCGGAGTCATTTGTCTGTCGGTAGAATCCTTGAGGAATCTGATATCCTTGATATCGTTCACCTTATGTCCATTTATTCTTGTATTGGCATCCTAAGTGATATTTTGCTCCTTTTGAATATCCAGCAACACTGATGTTCTTCCAGGCTTGGTTCCTTTTTTTTATAATTACGGTACTTGATTCTTACTGTTCTGATACAGGTGGTGCCTTCAATTGATAATTACTCTACACTTTACTCCATTGTCAGAAGGAGGACTAACAGCAGCAACAAGTCACTATAGCAAATGTATATACAATGCCTTGTAGTAATTATAACAAAAGAAACTTAGATGCACAGGTTTATATCAACACTTCCATCACAAAACTTGGAGTATCACAAACTTCGTGGTTTTAGCCTAAAAGAAAAATATAAAGTGAATAAGATCTACAGCTGATAAGCAGTACTACACAAGCCGAATAAAGAAAATTCAGAATTGCAACCCCCCTTTCTCCTCGGTATTTACTTTTTTATAAATAAATAACCTTAAATGTCTGTAAGGTAAGTTAGTTATGAGGAGAAGGTGCTAAGCTAGTAAGCATGTGGAAGGAATGTGAGGACAAGGAGCTGGAACTTTGGCTGGAGTGAAGGAGCAATGCCACAAAACTTGAACTGGTGGCAATCAAGTATGAATCATACCAGAAGCTAGACCATCACTTAATGAACAGTACAATTTGATGAACTGTGTTTCTGATCAATATTTTTAAAGATTTTACTAATAGGTTTCATGTTAAATTAACTGTCAACTTTGATTCTGTACGTTGTCAGTCATTTGTACTGTTAACCCAATGTATTTGTTGTTAAAGGTTCCATAATTAATTGAGTTGATATATTCTGACATTATATCAAATACTTTGTAAGTACCATCTCTATCCAATAAAGGTGTTAACCCAACACCATTACCTTAACTTCATGCTTCTCATCCCAGTATAGTTATTATAATCTAACCGTTTATTTTCCCAGGAAAAGATGTTGAAGGAAGGACGCAAGATGCGTGAAGAGAGACCATCCACGCAGAGATTTGTTGACAATTATTCTGAAGGATCCCGTTCTCGCTCTCGTCGAGCAGGAAAGAATCGCTCCTACTCAGAGTTTTATGACCAGTAAATGTTGTTTCAGCTCATGGTACTTTTATCAAATTGTAGAAATTCAGTACAGTCAGAAGCGTGGGGTACAAGAATCGACGACGTCACTTGAATTGCAATAATTCTAAAAAAAAAAAAAGAAATGTCTTATTTTATATAGTTATTTGCTTGAATGAATAATTAAAAAAACAAAAAAGAGGCAAAATGGTAATGTTAGGAATTTGTGTAATTTTTTAAAACTTCAGTACATTATGGCTATGTTTTTACCAATTATTTTCCCATGTGCACACAGATGTATAATGCATACCTTCATATTGAAACATGCATGCACTAAGACACCTACGGTATACATAAAGAGGTATGCCTCTTTTTGTACTGTTTACAGATATTTTTGTCTGCAAGCATGATTAGGCAAGTACATGTACACCTTCATATTTGATTACTGGAGAACATACAATTGTATACACAATACAAAGACTTGTATGTGCACACACACATGAACAGATATGGGCATAGACATGTGAATGTAGGTGTGTATTTTACATATAGAGATGTGTGCATAAATACCAGTCAAAATGTGCAAATACATACACTCAGGTCACATCACACACGTGCATCCCTCGCATACACAAAAGAAAAGTGTGTGTTTGTAAAATGTATTCGAGGAGGAAACAAAATTTATCACGTTAGATAATGTAAACAAAATTATGGTAAGTATTATCTATCAGGAGAAACCTTTTACTGTTTTGAGAAGGGAGCCAGCATAGCATATTTTTTAAACATTTATTTTTTTTAATTGCCATATTAAAAGTTTGTATGTGATAGACAAAAGTAATAGTTTACTAAGAAATTTTTATTATACTTTATTAGTACTTTTTTTCTGAGAGGAGAATCTTTAATTTGACTTCATTACCTTTCTCTAAGAAGAGTCGGGCGGAAGGCTTAGTGTGTCACCCTGGAGTTGCAGTCAGCTATAATATTAAAGGCTTGTTAGTGAAGCTCTTGTGTTATGTATATAGCATCTCAAGATAACCTCAAGATAGCATGAAAAAAAGTTCATGTGTATTTATCTCTCGAGTTATCGTTTATTTTATTTCTATTTTATTTTTTTTTTTTTAACTTTTAAAATGAACAGTTGGTTAATTCTTTGTAAATGAATGATTCTAGCAATTGCCAAGTTTATAATGTTTAAACTCTTGATCCCATTTTATCTTGAAAAGTGTGTTTAATACAAGTTAATTTTGTTTAATAAAAATGTATAAAATGTAGAATATATCATTAACATTTTTGACTGATGTATAATATCAAATGATCTTCACTAAACAATTTTTTTTTTTTTTTTAAGAAGCCTTCATTTTGTTCATTTAAATTTATGCCTTAATCTTCCTTGTACTTGGTAGCCTTAAGCAGCATCACCAATTGACTGGTGTAACCATACTTGCGTGAGACTGATATTCGGTGCATGTCTTCACGTGCCAACAATGTGTGGGGGCTCCTAGCACAGTCTTCTTGTAATGTTGGGTATTTAGAGGCTGGAGGCCTTGTACCCTGCCATGAACAATTATTTTAAAAGTGTATTTAATATATTAACAAACCAATCTGACCTTAAGTTTTGTTGTGTGCAATATTGATTACTGAGAAATTCTATTTAGTCCAAATTAAAAGTAATGTAAGTTTTGGATAGCCTGTTCTAAGTATCAGATTAATTACGAAACTAGCCAGAATTGAGCTGTCTGTCTAATATTTGCCGTAAGTGGTGGATTGTTCAACTTTAAAGAAAAGATATATATACATTTTTGAGTAGTTACATAAAGTACATCATAGAATTTATTTAAAATTTTTGTAGTTTAGTTTTATATAATGAACTATGGGATTCAGAGTTTTAATTAGGGGGGAATAAATTTTGTATTAGATTTCTTTCATGATTTTAAAGAGCGAATTTGAAACCAAAAATGGGTACAGGAATAGTATCTCGCCATTGCAGATGTAGAGAAGTGTAGCTACCAGTTCTGTGTTGGAAGATGTGGATGCTGCTTATATATATATATATATACATACACTCGTATATAATATAAATATAGTATATATAAAATGTATATACAAGACAAATGCAGTGGTGAAACTTATTACAATTGTGTAGTGCTTAAATGACGGTGAAGAAAAGGCCCAATTCATGTGTTAAGTATTACTACTAAATGTTTTGATGAAATTTAAATCCTTTATCGAGATTCTGTAAACAATGTTCTGAACAAGGAATCTAAATGCGCGTACTTAGAATCCTTGTCTAGAGCATTGCTTGCAGCACCTTGATAAACAATGTAGGTCTCGTCCAAAAATTTGGTCAAATACATTTACACATGAATTGGGGTCTTTTCTTCACCTTCACAAATACAGTGTTATGGAGTTACTGTTGCTTAATATGATACGGTACGTGCTGTAATCCACACGTCTCGTCACTTTGATAATCGGAATCGGTTAGAGTATAATGGCGAAAATTCTACAAAATTAATGACATCTTTTAAAATTTGAGTGAACATATGTAGTATATAGGGTGCACCTGGTCATATACTAATTGTTGTTTCATTACAAGGGGTATTTAGGTTTAAGGAAGGTGCTCTACTTTTTCCTTTACAAGTTCCAGTTAGGCTTACATTTGACAGTTGTAAAGGCACATTAGCTATTAACATTCATCATATGATGCCTCTTTCCAGCATTTCATAGTTAATATCACTGCATTTTACCTTATTGAAATGTCTTTTTTGATTGACATTAATTCCCAAAAGTGAGCATTTTATCGAAAATTTATCTCTTTAGGTTAGTATGGAATACGTTGTAGTTGCATAGATGTAGACATATTTACGTTTATAATAATGTATATTGCCAATATTTTGTTGTGACAATGTAAATGTTAAAGATATGAAGAAATATAACTTCTTTCTTTAAAGTTTTATGTATATTATTTTAGGCAATATTGAGCATTTAACAATCAACCCTTCCCTCCCTCCCCCCCTCCCCCAAATAAAATTATTAGGAAAGTTGATGTTAATCTATATTTTTTGTTTTTGAAACTATTGAGTGAATGTATGCTAAGGAGTTAGAAGTCACCACTTATTGGGCTTCTTCACATAGTCTTGTGAACAGAGTGCACAAACAAATTCAAAGAGGTAACTATAGATAGTACAAAAAAGTTTTTTCTAATATCTTTCACTAGTTATATGTAAAAAATCTAACTTGAAGTGAAAGTTTATGCCGCTGGTATTATAAACTAATATCGTTTTTACAAAGTTATTGCACTCATATTTTTTGTATTAATGTATTTTAATAGCTTTTGTTTGAAGAGTGCATTGTATTAAACTCTAATGTAAGTACAGTAATTTTACATAGATTATTATTTTGTGCATTGCTTAATTTATTCAGTTTTACATGCTAGATGTTTTGCATAAGTGTCTATGCATAACTGAAGCCTTGATTTGAGGTAAGCACTACCTTAACAGTGGTAATGTGCATTACGTACTTAGCTTGTTCTGGATGGCTGCTTAAGTTACTGTTTCTCAAGTTAAAAGCCTCATGCCAAATGTGTCTTCCCATCCATTGATTTTTGTTTGTTTGTCATAATACTAAATATGGTTTTGGCTTTATATTTGTTTGATAAATTTTATATTCTGAATTTCAAGTAAGCTGTTCCCTCCGTTTTCTAATGATATGCAGATCAGTTCTCCGTGTAAGAAAGCCAGTGGAATGCACATTTCTTATGTATGCATTTAAGAATTCTCATTCCTAGATGCACTACACTTTTTGTATAAAGCACAGAACATACTTTGGTAAATCAGTAGCTTTTGTAGCACAGAATCTGAGCTCAAGTTTCCCTTGCTGTTCATAGAATATTTTGTGTTCGAAACAGCACCTTATGTGATGCATAGCCTACTAAGCAATGCTGGGTTTATAAGGAATTGATGATGTACTGTGCAATAAGCTATTGTACAGATTTCTCAAAATGGTGTAAGCCATTAGAAACTTAACTTTTTGGATTTTTAAGCCTGTTTATTCCCGAGTGTGGGTAGATCACAGAACTTTAGCCTTGTCTGGATATATCGACACGTGTTTTTCTACTTGGTGGTATCTACAGTTTTTACTAAATGGGTTGATGAAAATGACCCTAGTTTTCAGAATTGCATTGAATGTATGCTTATATAGATATTTTTGTTTAATTACCGCATGTATTGAAATCATCCTTTTATCTTCCATCATAACTGAGAATTGGGAAACAGTTGCTTTAAGTATTTGATCATGAAAATTTGTCTTTGCTATGCATAGTTGTAGGGAAGGTATGTAGGAGCTTGTGTGAGATTTAAGAAAATATTTGTAGTTCAATGTTCATCACTAGATATAAGGCTAAAGCTCGAAACTTTTGTAATTGTAACGCCCAGTATGAAAATTAGGTAAGATTAACACATATTGGAATATAATAATACTTGTAGCTTGATATTTACCAAATAAATATCATTTATTATATAAATATGAAAAAGTTTCGCCTTTTTCTTTTTTTTCACCCTCTGTCTTTTCTTTAATGTCTGAAGAATGTTAAGTATACTGAATACAGTATATTTTGAATTATTTGAAGTAATAAAGTAGATTCTACTTAAGGATTTTGGTTGTAGGTGCACCGAAAGGTCAAATGTACCTTAGTATCTTTCTCTTGGCTTTTTGTGTATATTATTTAACTACTGTACACTTCATCTCTAATAGACGAAAGGTGCAAGATGATCACAATACTGCTGACCCAGGATGCAGGACTTTTATTATAATCCATAGCCCCAGTCTGCATGAAGTTATTTAGTCATCCATGAGGTGTGATTTTCCTCCAGTGTAATAACCAACTGAAATTGCTTTTCATCACAAAGTTTTGTTGCATGATGTGTGTGTCTCTTGTATCGGACACTGATCTTTCCCGAGTAATTAAAGAAACATGCTGTTATAGATTCAGCTACTCGGAACAAGTTCCAAGTAGCACGGGCTATGGTGAGCCCGTAACTTACCTGGCACAGGAGTGGTGTACTGCTACACTCAGCAGTTGGTTATCAACTAAAAAACATGCAGCACAGTAAATATATAACAAAATATGCAGTATATGCATTCTTTACTGCTGTCATATTATGATGAGAATGTAATTTAAATAATTGCAAGAACAGGAGTGTTATAATTTTGCTAATAAAATAATGTAATCATAAGTTGGTAAATGTTAACCTATGTAGGTTTTTCTTTACTTCACTATTACATATACAGTACAGGGTTAATCACACTACAACTAGTTGCATAGATTTTACCAAAACTTGCCCATGCAGGTCCTCTCCACGTCACATAGATCTATCCATACACATCTTTGCCTTACCATTGCTCAAAATTGGTTATTGAACATGAAATATACAAAATTTAAGCTTTGCTAGTTATTAATTCACATGAAGTTGCTGTTTGTGTTATATGATTTTTTTTTTAACATGAGGTTCAGTGATGAGAATGTTGTAAATAGTGTTTACAAGTAACTTTTAACTTATTGCATGTATATACAGGTGCTGAACTGTATATAAATATACAGCAGACATTAATTTGCTGGCATTATAAATCTCAGTGAAAATATATAACTTACTGTATTTCAGAACTCCGTTAGAAGAATTTAAGAGGAGCTAAGAACTTCCCGGCTTGGTGCCTTCTTTTAATAATTGGTTACTGAATTGGCTAAGGAAAAGTAACTGATCTGCAAACAATGATTAGCTTGTGTTGGTGGAGGATGTTAATAAAGACAGCTTGAGCAGTTTGGAAATCTATATGGCTTGACATTAAAATTTACAGTATTCCCTTGGCCTTTCTCGTAACCAAACTTGGGAAATGGTATAAGCCCAGTTATGAGTGGTTACACACTTAGGAACTCGTAGGCTCTTAATGGAACTTGCCACTTAATGTTCAAATTATATTGTTTCTCTTACAGGCCTTCATCCAGAAGAATACTGATTTTCAGGATTAAAGAAAAAAAATTGTGGTAGAAATTCTACCAGAGCCATTTAGATGCTATTAGAATTCTTGGTCAAGTTTTTGGTATAAATTGGATAAGTTTAGATTTAGGAAAGACTTGGGTAAATACTGGTTCGATAACAGGGTTGTTGATTTGTGGAACCAATTACCGCGTAACGTGGTGGAGGTGGGGTCCCTCGATTGTTTCATGCATTTGTGAATAAGGCCCTATGATTTTTTTTTTTTTTTACCTGCAACAAATATGACCTAACTTCCAGAAATCCTAGACCCAATTCATGCTATTCTATTAATATAGT